ATCTTTAATCTACATTGAAATACGAATTATCGGTCATTAGGGCATATCTTTATTCATTGTCTTCACCTATCGACTTTACCAGTAGTAGGCGGACATGACGTCATTGAAAATTTTACTCAAGTCGTCGAATATTAAGAACCTGTGGCGAACAATTCTTGGTAACAATGAATAGGCATGTAAGATACACGCCTTAATAATTCCACGCTTATTAATCTTCAAGATTTTACATTTACATTTAAGAATTGAATATATTTCTAAAGTTATAATTGGAATTTAAGAGTGGGCACGATTTTTGATCGTTTTAATGTGTAAAACGGCTAATTCATCGTAAATACGCGGTCGGTGTCACATCTCGCCTTACGTATTCGTAAACCATAAAGCTCGCTTGAGCGGAATATTAATCAGCTTGCGTGGTTTCGACCTGAAGATCTTATCGAAAATGACGAACACGAGTATCGCGAACTTGACTCTCACAGGCGTATTCATAGTCATACTTTCGGATCTTTTCAGCGAAAACGCGTCGGCACGAGAAATCGGTCGCGAGATTTCTTGTCTCCTTCGAACATGATGCAAGCAACAAACATATTCAGTTCTGTTATTCTTCGATGTCAGCTACACAGTAATGTATTAAGTACTTCATGAAAAAAATGATTTTGAAGTATCTAAAATTTAACTAAATAGAGAAAATAATTTTGTCTCATATCTTAAAATGATTATGTAAAATGCAAAAAATTTTAACATTCTAGCATTGAACGTTCTATATAATTATTTTGATGATCCAAATAAAATTATTTTCAGATCTGTTTCGAACAAAATTTTTACATGCTTCAGCAAAACTATACTTTTTGTATTGATAAAATGATACGAAATGTTGTATGTCAAACTAATATCTAAAGTTAATTTTTTTAAATATAGATATTACAATATTAATGCCATTAATGATTAAATATATCTGTATAATAATTAAATAGAAAGAGAAATGATTTATTATATAAATCTTTTACATAATAAATGGTAAATATTATCAAAGAAATATTAAAATATTTCCTTTAATGATTATAAACATAATTTAAAAATAGAATAACTTATCGTATTTTAATAAAACATTTAAAAAAAAATAAAAGGAACGATTAGCGTTTACGTGACTCTCATTCAAATATAAGTAAAATAAAAAAATTACACTCTAATAGATGAACTCATTAAATAAATAAAATAAAATCTATACTCTAATAGGTGAGCCATAAATTCTATAACACAGTTTTACTGAAGCTCAGTCGTACGTTAATTTAAGTTCATTCCATTTACACGGAACAAAACAGTTGAAAAGAACCTGCGTCGTAAATTGACATGATCCCCTTTCGTGCATATAATTACGCGCTCGCGTGAATACGATCTACATATCGTAACAAAAGACCGAAATCAAATCGGACAAGCACGGTTCTGTTCTTTAAAGAGCTCATTTGCCGAGGAAGTAAAGTGTTCTTCCTGATGTGTCGACGGCGAGAAGGATACGGTGGGTGTCGGACAGAATGGGTGAGTTGACCAAATACGTGGGACGAGGTCCAGGGCTTCGTCAATCTTACTGAGAGGTGCTGTTATCCTGGCCTCGAAAATCAAGGTGTACCGCAAGGACACGAAACTGGTGCTTTTTGCCGACACGAGAACGGCCGCGCTTTTAAGGAGGACGAAGTTAGCGGAGAGGCGAGCCTCTTGACTCGCCACGGCATATTACTGTATTGATAAAGACACCCACGTTTGTTGCCAGTCTCTCCGCAAAGCTGCAGGCGCCGTTCTGTTACAACAAAGTCGAATCGAAGGTCTGCGGCTGGCAGATGAGGATACGCCAAGAGAAAATCGATGTATTGTAACGTCATGCGCGTTTCATCCCGAGCCTCCAATCGTTGATAAGCGAACTGGCTATATAAATCATCTTCTAATCTCTTAGACGCTCTGCGATCATTGAGACGATCCTCAACGTTTAATCATTAATTTACCATTCATATTACAGAAGCATACTCGCTCAAGTGTGTTGCACGGAAAGAACAATTTTGCTAAAATATCTAAAAGTTTGGATCTGAAAATAATTTTGGATTATTAAAATAATTACATAGGCAACTAAGCATGACGAGCAATGTTGCAAAAAGTTTTAACATTCTACGAGTAGCAATCAATTTGAGTGTCCTATATAATTATGATTCAAATTATTTTCAGATCTGTATTTAGCTAAATTTTAATATTTCCATAAAACCCATCCTTTTATGTATGACGTATATCTTGAGCGTTTATAAGTGAAAAAAATAATAATTTTATTTGATTGATTTCATCGAAACAGAACATGGTTAAAATTATTTGTCTATTAGTGGATAATTAAAAAACTTGAATAATTAGAATATTTGAGAAGGAACGATATTCGTTGAAATTTATGAATACAAATTTATTACGATTATTTAATGTTTCCCTATTCAATGGACTCCGATATATTTCGTTTTTATCGCTGGAAATATAATATTTTATCTTCTCGTAGAATGAAAATTAGATCGAGAGCAGATTGCGATTCGACATAGCTATCTTTGCGCTACAGTTGACAGCCGCTACTTTAAACGTACAAAGGGCAAAACACTTAGCCCTCGTCTATTTTGCGTCACGAGACTTATCAGGATCGGAGTAGCGTGTACGTATGCGTGCGATCTGCGTGATGGAAAAACGCGAGAGGTGGAATTGATGCAGAGCGAGGTGATGCATGGAGAACGTGCGCGGTGGTGTGTCTCCAGCACATTCTCAAAGAGTTGCTATTTATACTCCTGACTGCATGAGCTGAAAGAACGGCCGAGGAGCGGGTTCCTCAATATGGCAGCAGGTAGGCCGCGCGCAGTGATTCAGAGCCGATTTTTCCAGCTGGACCAGACAGTGGCTCTATTCTCCGTCTGCCGTTCTGCCCGCCAGGAGCGACCGTAGTCTCCACCTTCTTTCGCGCTTTCGTTTTCGCCCTCTTCCTCCCTCGCCTCGCCTTCGTTGACGGTTCACTTCGCGCGAGAAATCCTAGATCGTGTATCCTATCATCACATTATCATTTTTCGCGAGTATCTTATGAGAACATGATTCATCAATTCTCTCGAGACAATATTTGGCTAATTATATATATATATATATAGTGTGATCATATTTTTTATTCCATTTTAATTATCTAGACTTCAATACAATAATAATTTAAACTATTATCTATTTTTAAATTAGAAAAAATTGATTAAAATTTATTTTTCTTTATTATAACGATTTTTTCTCAAATTTTTAAGAAATTACAGTGAGAATTAAACCATATTATTGCAATAAATTTATTAATTAATGAAATTATATACTATCAGTCTTTTTATCAAATTTATAATTATCTTTCTATTTGTTATCTCGATATAAAATGACAAGTTTACACTATATTGATGATATAATTCAGCTTAGCTAAATATACTTATAGCACATTGGACGAATTACTATGAAAATTTGAGCGTTTATTGACTTGACAAGTTAATGATAATTAATAATAAGCCAATCGCGAACAATTCAAGTCTCATAGGTGTGAGGTACCTCAATTAACATTGGAATGGCATCAACGTAGACGTTACGTAGGCGCTCGACGATATGCTAGGCACGTATCCGTTAGCACGCTTCGCAGTCGTCGAAACAAGTGGCGTCTCTTCGATCCACGATTTGCGATCAAGGTTCACGAAAGGTTCGAATTTTTGTACGTCCACCTTTCGGTACGAACGCTTCTAAAATATTTTACTCCACAATTTGCACCTCGTTGGACAAACCATGCATAATAATTTCACAAATATTTCACAACAATCACGTATTCCGCTGGATAAAATTTATAACTTGACAGTAATCGTGACTGAAAGATAAATGATCTGTCTAAAAACATGACTATAAATACTTCCCAGGCTACGCAATTTCTACATAAGATATCTTAAGAATAATTAATTCACTATTAATGCCTTAAGAGCCAATACTAATTCGTGTGTAAATATAAACTTTTATTAAATTTACATCGATTTTTAAACGTTCCGGCCTATGTTGGAATCATCTTCAGTTCAAATTTATAATAAGATTATATATACAATATTACTGAAACATTTAAAAATTTGATATCAATTTAACAAACGTTTATACATGACGAATTAATATTGAGACTCTTAAGACATAACAATTAATAATAATAAATTTAATAATAATAAATTTATATCATTTTAATACATTTATATCGAGCCTCACTCTATTTTCAAGAATTACTTTCTTGATTTCATTGATTGAAAATCAGAATAATAGACCAAGTCTTCCTGCAATTTCATATTACAGAAATTATACGCAAAATTCTCGGACGACAAGACTTTCCCAAGAAAACATCCCGTGTCCTCCTCACTGAGACATGTTCCCGACGCTTCACCGGATCTTGAACTCCCGCCATAGACCCGTTTAGACTCTTGAGCAGGCGCGGCGAGCGAGCTTTCCGCCGGAGCCGATGTACGGAAAAATCTCTTGCGCGGCTCGGGAGAAGGATATCCGATCGCTTCGCGGGATCGTTTGCGGACCGCTTACACCGACAGATGGGATTATCTGATCTTGAATCTAGCCGGGATGGCTCTGGCGCGTATAATTGCCATCGTCGGGCAAACGAGCGTAGCCTGGTGAGCGCGCTAGAGAGAGGGCTCTCTTTTCCTCTCCTCCTCGTTCTCCTTCCTTGTCCTTTTCTATCTATGGCTCTCGTCGGATGGCTGGCTGGTTAGTTGGCTGGGCCCCGCGCTAGACTCCGTGCCAGCTAGTTCGTCTGCACCAGTCGACGTTCCTTCTCGTTCGTTCAACAGCCGGTCGCTGCCTCTCTAGTCGGTTCGTTCGCCACCGGAGTCAAGGCTGTGAACCGGGAATGTGCGTGCAACTATGCTACCTGGACCTTTTATTCCTCCTGATATTCACCGCCGCCGCCACCGCCGCCGCCGCCACCGCCACCGCCACCGCCATCGTCTTCTCTTAACGTGGCTTATACGCCTTTAGTCAAAGGCTGTGTCTAGTAGTACGTTCGTATGAATCTACGTCGCGCGCGTGTCTTCTTTCTCTTTCTCTCTTTCTGGATCTCAGATTCTCACCTAGTAGCTCCTTCAGTCTAGATCTCTTCTTTCCTCTTCTCTTCGTCTTCCTCCTCTTTGATAACGATCTTCCGGCGAAAGAGAGAGAGAAAGAGAGAGAGAGAGAGAGAGAAAACACGGTGTGCGTACTTTTACAAACCCCCTGGCACCTGTCCACCCAAGTAGATAATAACGCCGCCGCGAACTCTGCGCCGTGCAGCCTGATTGCCTGACTGTTACCTACCTACCTACCTACCAACCTACCTACTCACCTATCTCTCTCTCCTCTCCGTCGTTAAGTTTTTCTCGTCTTTCTTTATCTCACTTTTCACCTATATCACCTATTGACTGGTTATTGACTTACGTCAAAGAAATTCGCTCGCAATCTTTTTCAAAGGTCAATTACGAGAACATGGTATCTTCTGCGAGTTTAATTCCATTGACTACGATTCTCGCAAATCATTTATGATTCAATAGTGATATGATTTTGATCTTAGTTTACTTAACCCCTTTTTATTGCGCTCATCCGATGGTGTAATGCACGAATCTCTTCTTTATCATCTAGTTTTATCTCCCGGTGCACTTAGACAGAGATTCATTCCACCTAATAAACCATCTCTCTTCTTCTGTCTCATTCTGCTAATCTCTATCACGAATCGATATTTATTCTATCTATGTCCGAGAGAGTCGCCGGGAGCGTTGTTTCTCAGCGATACGACGCGGTTAGGCAATCACCTCATTGGAAATCATTGTCTTGCGCGAGCCAAGTGGCTCTTTCTATCACGTCGCGTGGGTCGTTTTAGCAAGGACTCGATCGTCGTAACAAATAATAACGGGAACACGAATTAATCACGATGTTCATAGGCACCTTCTGTAGCTATGTGTTTGTTGTAATTATGATGAGTACTAAATTTGTTCGAATTGTGTTTTATGATATTTTTTTCTGTTACAGGTAAGAGAATGTCGCAGCTAACTGAAACCTGGGTACGTGATGATCTAAATGTATTTTATTATATTTAATATATTTTGCCATTAAGCGTTGCATTTAAGCAAAATAATATTGCAATAATAACTCCTCTTATTTTGAGAAAAATGTTTAGTTATAGTATTAATATAGAACATATGTTATGTCCTTTAGTTGCTAACAATGATATAACCTAACAATTATCATTTTTAAGAAACCTATTTTAAAATATTTTTATTCCTTTACATTCAGTTATCATATCAAAATTGCATTTCAAAATTAATATTATAAAATTTTAATGATTCAAAACATTGAAGCTCATTTCTGGAAAATTTTGTTTTTTAAGTATTGTATCATTGTTGTAGCAAATGAATGACATATAGTATTTCTATTTCTGTAAAGAAAAAAAAATACAAAATATTTCTCGTGCTAAAATAATTAAGAGCACAATTTAACGTTAATTAATTTCCGAATTTATTAAAAAATGTTTCAAACGCGAGTTCTTTGTAGAGTTAAATTTTTCTTAACATAAACCTGTAATTTTAGTTCACCACTTTAAGATAGGATCTTAAATTATGTTAGAACGCGCGATATAATATTTAAAATTGTATGCGCATATAAAGCTTGACTAAATACGACGATGTTTTGATTGCGTGTCGGCGGACTCAGACCGCCGAGTGACAGTCGACAGCACGTCGACCACCACGAGGAAATCAATCAAGTGGATAAGAGAAGTATTTGTCATCATCATAGCATCACCGGGCCTTCTCTTTCGTGAATATAAATTAAATGTCTATTAAGGCTAGTTGCGTAAATTTGAAGAGGAAAATTAGACTTCACGAACAGTTATACGTGATGTAGAAGGATTTTCTAATGTTATCTTATTCTTAAAAAGGAACATAAAAAAAAAATGATTGTCAAAATAAATTATAGAAACATTGCTAATACAATTTTTTTCTATAGTAATTCATGATATTAATTAATTGAGAATTTAATTAATAACTGAATTAATAATAATAGTAATATTACTACATTATATCGTTGCTATATTATATTTGAAGTATCAAATAAATAAGTAAATAAAAAAATTAATAATTTTAACTATATTGCAACTGATTTACATGTAATTCTACAGTTCTTTACAATACACAAGATTAATGTTTAGAGAAGTAACTGATAAAACTGTAACTGATTTTTAATACAATAATCCACATGACTATAAATCATCCTCACATGCGTAAGTTGACACGCCTTGGGCAAGTTAATCGCTTTGATATCTGTCATTATCCGCTCGGCGTGAAGGAATTGAAACGTTTGCATTAATCATTAAATCGGCTTCTCAACAGCTGTGGGACATATTGTATGTATTGAAGTAGTAGTCCTCGTCGAATACTTTGATGACCGACGCGTGCTTGACCTTCTCGAGAGCGAGGATCGCCATGATTGTGGCTCCGCGTGAATTATCCTCTTTGTCCGTTGACAAACGTATGCCATGAGGAGATCTCAGAATAGCACGGCCTCGACAAAAAGAGACTCCCCTTTCCTTACTACTGTTTTACGTGACTTTTTGTCGCGTTTCATTTGTGCTCTTTTGTTCTGCACGTACGTGATTGTACTGAATTACGACCGATGATCAATGTTGCACTGCCACTAAATTGTTAACACTACACGTCTCCCTAATAGGATGGAAATACTGTTAAGATAATATCGTATTAGAAATCTTCTCGCGAACTGTAGAACGAATAATTGCTGTCCGTCACTATTGAGATATAATGAAACTAAATGATGCATGAACCAACTTCATTGAACTCGAATTCTATGTAATTACAGGTTTACTAGAGATTTCTTAATAAAAACGATTATTTTTTTAGAGAGTTTGAATATATTACTTCTTTAAATTATCTTTATTTATTAATTATCTTTAAATTATCTTCATCTATTAATCTCTTTCGTCATCTATTAATCTTTTGAGAACCGCAGCTTTCTAACAAAATAACTTGTGAAAGATCTTGATTTTAACAAAAAAAAGTTATTTTTTAATTATATTATTATTGTAGTAAATGTGAGCGACATGGACAGATAAAATAATTCTGGACCACTGCAGCGATCAATGAAAAGTTAAAAAACATCCAAATTAAAATGTCGTGTAAACACGGAAAAAATTAATCGCCCTTCTTAATAATGTCAAACACGTCGCGCAACATGATTTTGTGGTCTCATAAAATGTTATTGTTTTGTGGAAGAAAATACGGAACGCGGAACCGGTCGGTCACGATTGGCGAGAATACTCAGAAACCATATAATCTACGTGACATTCGATTCGTGGACACCCTTAATGATATATATCTTAACGATCGCATGCCGCGATCTTGTACGTTCCGGAAAGAGAAGCCGAGAGATCGGAGTGCTCGATGAGAGAGAGAGAGAGAGAGAGAGAGAGAGAGAGAGAGAGAGAGAGAGAGAGAGAAAGAAGAATATGTGAGCAGTCGAGCATGGATAAAAAACGTCAAGGTCTTTGCTGTACGAATGTCAAGAACCATTGGGCATGGGTGTATGACCGTTAACGAGCATCGCTTTACCAACGGAAAGTGTTTCCTTTTATTACCGATTATGAGTATTTTTTTCATTCTCGTGGAACGTTTTTATTCTAACATAATTCTCACGGCATAAAAGGACTTCTGTCGCAATAAGCGAAGAACTCGTAATCATTAATGCGACTACGTCGCGACTTTGCGATTTCTTGTACCAATCTTCTGCTAATTGGCATAATTATCCTTCTAATAATATTTTAATAATATTGATTATAATATGACATGAAGAATATTTGCAAGAAAAAGAATTATTAGACAAAATATGTTGCCGTCTTTCAATTATAAAATAATTACAATTAATATATAATAATAATTAACATTTTAAGTTCACTTCTAATCCGTATTGATGCTAATCTCATCGTAAATATGAAGCTCTCAAAGAGCAATTATAACGTTGCAACCTGGATTACCGGTTCATTTTGCAAAACTCTCCATTTAGCCAATTACACTCATTAGATCTCTCGGTGCGCGGTGACGTAATTCGTACCGAACGCCTCTTCGTTAATTATCCGCGGTAGGATTACAGGTTTTACGAGACCGATTTGGGAAAGTTGCCGCGTCTGGTTTCCTCGCGGACACGTAAGTGTCCAATCTCTAATCTAGTTCGTGCCAGATCAACTTCCGCGACTCCCGAGGACTATTTCTTCGGGAGCGGCGCTTCGACCACCGCTGTCGCTACCAATCGATGATACGTTTCGAATTGGCGGGCTAAACCTGAGTGACATTCGTATCTACCGTTGTGTAACGCTGCAATCATACCCGGAAGGTATCCGATGGTTATTCATGCAACCATATGTACTTTCACTGTCGTGGACCTCTTTTGTACCGCCATCAAACATACCGGGATCGATGAATGTATCACTTAGCTCTGCCAATCGATCCATTAATCGGAACAGGTGCTCGGCAAAGACTAATGCCATCCTTTCGAGCGATCGATAATCCTCGCGGCTCGTAACGTGACGTAAATTTCGTGGTTCAAGCTGGTTGGTCATCTATTCAATGACGCGACCTGTAATGAAGCGTTAACACGCGGCTGAACCCGCGTAATTGATTATTTTACACGGAATCACCGTTCAAGACGCTCTGAGAATCAAATATTGTGTAACAAAACATGAATCTGGACGATACAAAAAATTACACACGTAATTTCAGTGAGGCAAATGCGGATTATGTTGAAAGTGATATTACGGATCTGATAGATAGTCGAGCCACAGAAATTGATTGCCGTTGTACGGCTGCAGCATTCTCTATTCGCCGTACGATTTACAATGCAACCACCAATTTGGTGTTCCACAACTTAAATTGGATATCTCTATGAAATGGAATTCTCCTGCATAGATAGACCCCGTGCGAACGAAAGAATAGCGCTGCTCTGTCGATGTCGGGAATGACATCACGATTTCTGGCAACATTATTAGATCGGCGATACCGTTAATATGATCACGACCGCGGGGTCAAATCGCTGGGAGCGTGACTACGAGAGATCTCATTAGCAAATTCAATAATATGCGTAGAAAGAGAGAGAGAAAGAGAGAATCGGCATACTCGTTCTATTGCACATTATTCAATGTAGAGTGATATACGAGTAGACTTAAGCCGCTTTGCAAATGCGGATTTTCGAGCTCGAATATGCCGACGATACTAATCTACGACGTGACGTTTGACGAATCCAAGATGAACCTGGGACAGAGAAGACGTCTCCGAAGAGAGGACGGTAGAAGGACAGAATAATCGTGCCGGTAAGAAATCGTGACGCGTACCGGAGAGAAAGGAGGATCCTACAACGGGTAGAGACCTTTAAGATCGCAAGGAGCAAAGGTATATTACATCCATGTATATACAGGCCTATATAGCGTACACTTGCGTATTTGACCCGCGTTGTCTCAAGAAATTGTCTCGAGAAGACAAAAGACTTTAGACGATCTGTTCAAAAACATATGTAATATAAATGAGTTGAAATTATGGGTTTTCCAAAATATACCATTGCATCAGTGAATTGTTATATATTCTCCATAAAGAAAAATTTCTAACTTCACAAAAGGCTTCTTCATCGAAGTGTTCTATTAAATTTATTGAATCAGAATTTTTTATTAAGTCAAAAATTTTATCATTAAATTATATAACCGTATAAAAATCACACAGATTAAGTTATAGTAAAACATTAAAATAAATTAAAATAGAATATTTTAATTGAGTTAATCAATTCATAATTCAACTATTGTTAACTTATCATATCAGAATTAAAATAAAATTAAACAATTCAAGTTCAAGATCCAAACGACATTTTGCATAATATTTATGCACATATCGCAATTAAGTTAAAATTAGAACCATAAATCTAGAAAGTTGAGTGTTTTATTTTATGTAGTAGTCGTTATATTTATATATTTACAACGCGAGAAGCTACGATGATCGAAAGTTAATGCTTGCAATCGGTAATAAAATGGTTGACCGGATGTGTCGCGTCGTTAATCACGAAAACGCGTGCAAGCTATTGCGACAAAATAACCTGGCTACTTTCGCCGATCCAACATCAGCTAGGCGTAGAAATATCAGGCGCGTGCTCCACAATTTCCTCGACACCGTCTGCAATACATAGATTACGCTTGCGGTTGCACGAACTGGGTCAATTTGATTGACGGGCAAATTCTCGTGCAGCAATTCTATTAAGATGGACGCACCCTTGACAGAAGACAAAGTAAAATTTTTTATTCTTTTGCCAAGAAAAAAATTTGTGAGAAACATGCAAACTATTTTATCAGCGACTAAGAGTCGATTTTTCTTCAAGTAATCAATATCGTGTAATAATTCGAATTCCCTTTTTCTTGAATAAACAGAACAAAAAAGAAGAAAGAAGGTTTGAATTATAGTTATCTTAGTTTACTTTTGTTTGCAATATAACTAAGATAATATTTTGATCATAAATACTGTTTTAAAGCAATAATTATTAAATAATTTCTATATTTATCTAACATTTTTATTTATTATGTTTAATTTTTGCCCATACTGGCTCACATATGAAGATGGGGATCCCAATGGCAATAAGAATATCAATACAAGCACACGTCGTTGGCGGTAATTCTTCTACCATTAGGGAACACACAAGAAATGCCGGAACAGGTCCAACGTGAACATTAGGCCGTAGGACTTTGCGAAATTTCACGACAGAGCCCAGACGCGCTTTCAATTAACCATCCGACCGTCATTATCCTCGGAAAGTGCCCCATCTTCCTGCTTGTTACGTGTGTCGGCGTAGAATTGTAATCTGAAAGATCGCCTACCAAAGATCATGGTAATTTGTAATAATTAGAGCCA